TCCTGTAACACCAGACGTCATTTAATACAGATTAAAACACTTGGCTCAACCGCTCCTGGGTCCAACACTGAACGCACTTCTTTATATCAGCAGTTTTGCGTCTGCCCTTTAGTAGAAATAAATCTGGGACACGATATTCACATGGATCTCTAAGACACCGATGTGTACACTCGATCCTTGAGATGCTATATTTGGAGTTAGGGTTAGGGATCTATTCATGTGTTCAGGTCTGGAGAAGATCCGACATGTACTCAAGGACATGGCCAATCTTTCTACTAAGATCTAGAAATCCAATAAAAAAATATTTTGTGAAGAGGGGTTTTCCTGTGGATTTCAAATGAAGTGCCTTTTTATAAATAAATAATAAAATGCTTGAACATCATCTTGTATTTAGTTGGACTTGCTTTTTGTTTTTCATATTTATTCTGTCTGTATGTGTGTATCGTCACTTTTTTTTTCTGTTTCATTGACTGATTTTGTAATGATTTATCGACTCCACCTGTTCTCCTTGTCCCTGCATCCACACAAGGGCCCACTTGAATTTCATCACCTGCCCACGTTTGTGAGGGTCCCGTACGCACCTGCAGCCCAAAACTGTATGTGGACTGTCCAGACTGCAAACACACTGGCCGTGCATACTTCACAAAGACAAATTTTGCTTTACACAAAAGGCTTTTTTTTCTGTGCAGAACAAATTCGCTATGATTGACGTCTTCACAATCTATCACTGAGAGAGCTGTAAAGGAAGTAGCTGCTGCCAGGCTTCGGAGGCGATTTGATTTGCTTTCTGTTGAAGTTGCCCCCCCCCAAAAAAGTAAAAATTCTCCAGAAATCATGTCCACCTGTGCATCTTACTGTGACATTATGAATTAGCCTTAATTACCTTTACATCCAGACTAAAAGCTGGACGGATGTAGCCTGCTTAAGTTTAAATAAACCCAGTCAACATTACCTCATAGATTATGATTATACATCCACTTTCAATGTATTGATCTCTTTAAATTTATAACTTGCTGCAAATCTAAAACACGAAATTGCTAAAGGTGGAACCATGTGGAGCCAAATGAGTTTGGGTTTGGTGATCTGCAGAGAAAAGGACTGTTCAAACCTTTACTAACCATTTATTTTACTACCATTTACCTTGTTTTTCCCCCCATAAGAGGCAGATCAACAAAACAACTACATGTGTACAGATGTCGTGCCCCTTGTTTTAGGAAGGAGAAGTACAGCGGCCACGTTTTTTAGTCAGTCATTCATTCTGTGGATTTGGTTTGGACTATTTTATTTTATTTTATTGCCATGTTAGTGATATAGTGCATTTTCCAACATTGTTTGTTGGAAAAGTAAGATTGCTGTCACTGTGTTGAATTAGAATCAATTTATTTCAAGATCGAGCATTAGTTTCTAGTTACAAGATCAGTATTGATTACCAGTTAAATTGTGTTTATAAATTTCCAGTTGCTTGGATCTGTCCTTGCTTTAGCGTCCCACAATGGCTCATATGTGCAATTATATGATTTTTTTTTTTCACTAAAAAATAAATCCTGCAAACACACACACACACAAAAAAATTGTATTAAAAATATCCAAGGAATAAAAGTTTATCTGAGTTTGCTTTAGATGTTTTGGAAGCACAATGGCCACCTATTACTGTGAGTGTGTGCCGGTCTGCATGTCAAGTCAAACGCTTGTGTTACCGAAATAACCAAAGTAACATTTCAGAAACGATTCGAGACGAGAAGTGCCACAGAGATTGTTGCCACTGAAGCCTGCTGACCACCACACAAGCACACACACTACTCACCGGGGTAGCGCTGGGAGGTGAGAGGAGCACCGTGGAGAGAGAGACGGCCGTTCTCTCGCCCGCCCCCTCTCCCTCCACCACCCCGCCTCTCCCTCGCAGCAAGAGAGGGCTCTGAACCAACGCAGCAAAGGAGAGGAAGGGAGTGAGGGACGGGAGAGGGAGGAAAGAAGGAGAGAGGGCAGGAAGAGACAGATGCAGAATGAGTTAATGAGAGGATCCAAGAGGAAGCAGGGTGTTAAGAAGGTCCCATGAAATGAGCGATGCCTTTACCGTCCCCTTACCTCGTGTTCCTGCCGGCAGCTTTTTTGTTTTTTTTCATGTGCCAATAGGTATCAGATTATAAATTACTTCCTGGAAAGTTTTAGGTTTTGTTTGCTGGACAATCTCACGCTCAAGGGTGTGTGTGTATAAGCCAATATGATATCAAGTTTTCATTTAACCCCCCAAGACCCCTCATAAATGAAAAAGAATCTATGCAACACCATTTGTCTTGAAGTAAAAGGAGCTTTTGTAGCAGTAACACAGGCCAGAGGTGTGTTTGGGTGGCATTTTCTAAAAATGGTTCTATAAAGGGCAGTGGTGGCTCAAAATGTTTTTCAAGACTTGTTCCCTTCCTGATTTTTTTTCTAAAAACTCATTAATATTTAAGTGAGTCTCCTGATAACACTGAATCCCACCTGACCCTCCCGTTGTATGTGGACGCACGGCAAAAAGAAGAAAATGATGGTCTCAAAGTCATTTCATGGAACCTGTAAGGCAGTGTCAGGTGAGACTGCAGATAGAAAGAACACAGGCCAAAGCAGAATCAAGCCAGACCACATGCAGCTGGCAGTCCACCACAAACAGCAGAGGTTTGACTCCGAAAGGCACTAAAAACCCCCCAAACAGCCAAGCAAAACCACGACGCACCCACCCAGCAATAAACAGGTCTACAGATTCAACTCCAGCTCCGACTTAAAATCTCAGATAAGTTTAGGAGCCTCGTGTTTGAGATTCCCCCCCCCTTTTTTTTTCCCTGATAGACATTCTGTTAGTGGTCTGTGGTTGTGCTTGGTTGCTGCTGGTCTTGGGTAAAAACCCTTACCATAACCAGAATATTCAGCCGGGCTAGTTCCTGGGTAGAAGCCTGCTGTTCCACCGGTCACAGGATACTGCTGGGTTGGAGGCATGTACGGGGGCCGGTACTGCAGAAACACAATAAACAACAAAACATTTAAGATGTGAGAGTTTCAGGCCAATCTTTGCTATATCCAGAGTAACAAACCCCACACACACACACACACACACACACACCCTGATGTAAGATCACTCCCCCCCCTTTTCCACACAAAGGTTGTGGAACATTTGTGTAGCATGTCCAAACAGGTTTTCAAATGCAGTTAAATCTACAGTTACTCCTTCGCTCACTCTCTTGTCAGGCTCTAAGAAGCAGTCAGAATGATTTTCTCTGGCTGCGAGTGTATTTTCCCTTCATGATATTCTATGACACCAGTAATGCGTCGCTGCTTGAGCGATGATTCGACCCTGGCCCGCTTCAAGAGCAGACGCTTTTGATTCATTCCTGCTTGGCAAGAATTAAATTCCTCAGTGGCAACAATGCACATAAAAGAAACCATCAGACAACTCTGGAGGTTAAAGCTGGCCTCTTAAACAAGTTTAACGCTGACTAACTCTAAAAGACACGACAGCGTGACAGAGAATCTTGCACGTCTCCCAACATTACGGCTACAAACAACCCATAATGCAAACTGATGAGCTCGCTCTACATGAGCTGGCACATGCCCTATACTAAAGAAAACATTCGGCGTTAACGCAAACTGCCTTACTCCTCAAAACAAATATATTAAAATAATAAGGCAAGTGGCTGGGAAGAGCAAGAATATGTATGCACCATAACTGATGTGAACCAACCTGTCCAGGGGGGATGAAGTAGCCCTGAGGGGAGCCAGGAAAAGGCAGCTGCTGCTGGGAAATCATCATCATCTGGGAGCTGGGTGGGTAGACGTGAGCAGGTCCAACAGATCGAGGGCCGCTACTCGTCTGCACCCTTGGAGCACTGGTGGCCATGGCGGGTCGGTTCTGATAGTAACTCTGGAGAACAAGATGAGGAGGAAACAGAGGGAGAGAAGAATGTTACACAGCCGAAGCCAACTTGTCGCTGTGTGTGTGTGCGTTCAGTGTCTTTAACTAGGCCTAACGCATGTGTTGGTAAAATGTTGCAGCACTTTTGCTTGTGTCCGTGTGTCCAGTCGCACACTCTCCTAAACTCAGCTGGAATCATTATACTCATAGCAACCGCTAACCTGCACATCAAGTTCAGTTTACTGAGTAACATGGAGTTTAAACTGTATTAAAAGTCACGTCTTCCTGCCACACTGAGGTTAGCCCAAGTTTAAGAGGGGGGGAGGGGAGGGGACGAAGAGAAAAGCCGTTACCTGTAATGCTCTGTATCCACCCTTCAGCCGCGCAACACATGAGCAGAGAGCAAGAGAGGGAGTGAGATTAAGGTGAAAATGAGGACTAGAGACAATGAGGAAGGTTGAGATCACAAAGTTTAAGAAGAAAGAGTATGAGAGGCAGCAGTGTATCTTGCAGCCATGAACAGTAAGCTCAAACAACCATAGATGCACATGCAATTCTACACAGGTCTGCACAAGCAGGATCCCCTCCCGTCCTACAGGTCCCACTTCTTAGCGATTACAGAATCATTGTAAGGGCTGCAGGCACATGCAGAAACTGACGTTAAAATGCTGCAGGTACCAAAGATCAATTCACGTTAATACCGAAGTCTTTAGTTGACCCCCATTTAAAGGGCTCTTTGCGCTGCTAAAGACGTACGATCATGTGTGAGAAATGTGATTAAATCTGCGGTCATCAATCCAAAACAGTGGCAATAGATTGCTCTGTTACATATGCACAAGCTGAAGCTTTGGGGGCCGAAGACAGCCTGCACCCAAATTCAGAAGGTTGTCAGAATTTTAGGACCAAATTCTAACAACTGCAAACGAACCAATAAGAATGCAGCATGAAATGATGCATAATATACCAGCTGGTGTGATTTATCATGAACGTACTTGTCGACTAACACACCAACCAAAATGATGGAGGCAAAACAAAAAAAAGGTTTGCGTAACACCGGTGAAAGAAGAAGTCCTCGTTGGAGTAGAATTTTCAGAAAGCGCAGCGCAGATGGATGACACACACTAATACACTACTGCTTTCAGCTCCATCTTTGACTTTGTCGTTTTATGATTCACCAGGTATTCGTCGCACTCTTTGATGCAAGTGAAATTAACACAGATTGAGACCAAGATATGACTAAACAGATCTCACAGTCTAGCAGTCTAAAGGTAATGCATGTTACCATCATTAAAGGTTGGAAAGGAAAAAAAAGCCAATTCTCATTTTGATTTGAAAGTAAATCGTATCAGGCTGGTTTGGGGACAATGTCTTAAAAATGCAGAGAAGTATTGGGAGAAAAACTGTAGAGTAAATGCAAAATGAGTAAAAGAGCAAATGAATACATTATAGGTAAAATTCTACTTTTAAAAAATTGTGACTCATAATTTACTAAAGAATTATGCAACTTGCTACAGAGAAATATGCATTTCTAGCATGAGATGTGGAATTACTGGGCCTCAGGAAACACTAAAAATAAAAATACTACAGCGTTCTCATCTAATTCAAAACTTGTGGATCTGAAAACATGCACTAACGCTACGGAGACAGAGGGGATGTAAGGAAAAGTGAGGGGTGTTAGTACCTGTTGGTGTAAAGTACGGGGCCCTGCAGCAAACTGGGAGAACAGCAGAAGAGAGGAAAGAAGACAAGGTTGACATTCAAGGAGAAAGATGGCAAATAGGCTACAACACACGCACAATTAGCCAAAGCCTTATAGCAGAAGAAGCCATGTCAGAAATCTATGTGAAAGAGCAGGAAAGAGAGGGTTCTCATCCACGTTACATTCTAAGACACTGAATGCAAAAACCTGAACAGGAGGATAAAAAAAAGCATGCTGTGAACAAATACCTGTCTTGGCTGTGGTGCAGAGTTCATTTGTGGAGCTTGGGTGGCAAAAACAATAGAAGAGGGCTGTCCAGGGCCGTATGCAGCCTAAAGAACGGAGGAAAACAAATGTTACCAACATGTATTCTACCAAAAACAACTGTAAGATTCTACCTGGACAGTGCGACTCACCTGTGTCAATCCAGGGGAAGGGGCAGGGTTTGGGACAGAAGGAGGTCCCGTTATAGGCTGTGGTGGTTTGTTCATTTCACGTTCTTTTATGGTTCTGCATTAGGGTGGCTGTGTGTTGCCAGCCTTACTGAGGAGAGAGAGAAGAAAGAAATGGCAAAATTAAAACCGACTTCACACCAACAGCGAATGGAGTAGCCGATTGTCATTTAATACGACAGTAACTGCCCAACATCGACCAATACTGTATGCAAATGTGAACCTTCAGCGTGACAACGTCTTGCCAAGCAGGGAGGGTGTGGTCTGTGGTTTCGCCTCTGATAACAACACCCCCTCCCACAGTCTTATTCAAGATTCCTTCTCACAATCAGTTTGTAATGGACTTGTGGATTTTAAGATCCACTCCAAACTTTGCAATGTATCAGAAAATAAGGGTTGTGATGGTTTCTGGTCACTTCAAAAAATAGGGAACTTTAACTCACAAATAGGAGACAAATATTAACAGGGTGTTATTTAGCATGGTTTGGAGATTTATTTCAAGCATATGTCTTTAATGTATATCATCAGATTACTTAGCTTTGTCTGGTTTTGAGTAAATTTAAGAAAATGGATACCTCAGGTCAAAGTTCATTTACTGTGTTAACAGTGGCTTCAGTGCGCCCTCGTTGTGCTAGCTACATGTGCAAATAACCAAATCAAATAACGTCAACTCAGTACCCATTCCAACAGTGACTGCTCATAAGAGTAAGTGTTGTATGGGTGCTGAAACAGATAGGACAGTAGAATTTAAAAAAATAAAAAAAATACTACAAGCAGACGTGTCATACACCATCCACCTGCTGACACAGGAACTATGGTTAGCTGCTAGCTGCTGCCATGCTTCCTTCAGACAGGGCATCAATGCACAATGCTACCATATGGTTCCGCCACTAGTGATGGCTAACAGGCTTATGAGGCGTGATTAAATATGGCAGGTACTCTAGGAAAAGATTAGCATCGTGTCTTAGCTAAGATACGGCATGAAATACCTTTTACTGGCCCGCTAACATGGCAGCATTCCCAGCCGAAATGGGTTAAATCGTTAGCCAACAGCCGGCTAGCGTTACGTGTCCTACTATCACAGACATTTTACTTAGTTACGCTACGTGGCTGAGTCCACATTTAACCTTAACGTACACAGAGCTCTGCATGATAGTTTTACTGTGTTCATGGACTATATGTTAACACCAAGAACTCAGACAAAGCAAACAAACCGGTCCCGGCAATAACGTTGCAACATCGAGACCGATTAGGTTAAGTTACAGTTAAGCTATTGTTGGTCAATGTTAGCTAGCGGTTTAGCCCAGCCCTGTCCTCCGAGGTGTATTTAATTACAGAGGCCCAGCGAGCTCCCCGATCAAATGAAACCATCACTCTAGCATTCGGTGTTATCTTCGGCTAATATTGTGGCAACAAGGCAAATGAATCCAAGTTACTGTCAAATTCTTACTATCAAGACGCTGTCTCAGAACACAGTTAATACCGCTTTTAAACCATGAAGCAGTTAGCATTGTGGCTAACTATCGGTGCCTCACCGAGCCTGCTGTGATAACGGTGACCAACTGAAGATTAGCCTCAAGAGCGAGTAACCCTGGCTGTCATTTCAGCAAACATCAGGCTAGCTTTTGCAAAACAGCTCGAAACAATATCGCAAGTTCAAATAGCCACACAATTAAACATTCTGATTAAGTTATTTTTTCACTTTTCGTATTCTGAGCGAGATTAGCCAACTCGCTCTCCTGGTGAGCGGACAGACAGCCGGCAGGGCCTGCTCAGCCAGCTAACAGCAGCTAGCCTGTGTGCCTTTGACAAAATGAAGCTCGGGTGTAGCTCCGGCTAGCATTACCACCGTATGTTGGTTTAATTCTTACCAGGAATCAATAGTGACTGTGTTGCAAGATAGGAATCAGCCTCAGATCAGTCCTCTGTTACTGAAAGTAGTGGTGTTGTAGTTTCCTTGTCCTTTACTCCAACAGAAAAGTGATGCCCTTCTTGGCTGTTGACTTAGCGAGCTAGCTAGCTAACCGGCAGATGGGGTGAGTGCTACAACTGTCACTTCGGTTTAAATCCCAGGGCGTGCAAAAGTGACAGTGCTCAAAATCAAATAATATAGTACTTCGGGAGTACTATTGACAATTCCGATGGCCCCGAAAAAAGCCTCTGGACCGGAGGTCCATGATCAAGGCGTCGATGGTGACGGATTGCCGGTTAGGTATGTACACAAGTGTCGTATGAGGAGGCTCAGAGCGAGGCCATAGTGCGGTGTTTCTGCTGGATGGAGCCGGTGCGCCTCCAAGTCGCATGGGTAACTTCCGGGGAAATTAAAATTTGATGCCGTTTCCTCGGTCATGTGATACAGGAGCCCGAATCATTTGATCAACTCACAGCTCGCAATCGTCTTACATTGTGAAGTCAACTCATCGTTATTTATGCAGCACATTTAAAGCAACAGCCGCAGCGGCAGCACGCTTTCTTGTAAAAAAAAAAAAAAATAGAAAAGAAAAGAAAAAAGAAAAAAAGAAAAAGAAAGAAAAAAGACTGACGTTAGGAATCACCCTAACAAGTTTTAATATAAAGATCCTACAGTGCTTTTTGTGGGGGGAATTTACAAATATTAATGATTTAAATACAACAGTCATCATATAAAATACAGCATTACCTGGCTATGATAAATATCAATCATCTACAGTGTTATTTATTATAGAGACTGGAGGTATGATATTAGCTGGAACAAGCATAACATATCGCCCACTGATGTCATGAATGTCAATAATCCGCCATTATTCTGTCAGTCTTTAGAGGTCAGAAAAATGGGAATTTGAATTTCAATATTTCTGTGACAGCTGTGCAAAATCCGCCTCCTGCAGGAAAAAAAAGATCCATAAATAGGTAATACTACCCCTGAGGTGAGGTGGAGAATTCGACAGGCAGTTATATTCATGATCCACCAGCCGGACATTTACTTTCAGAAAATTCTTACAAAATTGGCAATAACCAATAACTAATTGAAATCAAATTAGTTGTGTCACACGTTAAGTATTCAGTCTGTTTATTGTTGTTTATTTATGTATCATGTATTTGTTTACATTAGCTTTTTACTTTTTTTCTGGCTGCTACCTCGGCCAGGTCTGCCTGGTAAAAGAGATTTCTAATCTCAATGGAACTTTCATGTCAGATAAAGGTTAAATAATACATTTACAGGGTTTCGCTTGTCAGATGTCAGGATTTGATGGGTCTCTTTAGCAAACTGAGTGTGTGTGGATTTAGAAAGCTAATAAAATAGATCACCGTAGGCTGAGAGAAATGTTAACAGTAGACAAAATGAATGATCAGGAAGATGTTCAGCAGATTACTCAATAGCAAAAACAATAATTAATTGCAAGCCAAAAGAGAAAATCAACTGAAATGATAACAATTGATATCCCTTTGTTTCATTATGTACATATTTATGAATATGTTCAACCTGAATTACCACAACTGGGGCATCAGGGGGGATTTTCAGGCTGTTTAAACTGCAGAATATGAAGCAGGTTTTGGATTTTGTGGCGTCTTTATGGAGGCTGTTCAGAGTCGACAAAGCTCTCGGTGTCCCGTCTTATCTGTGCTGTTCACTAAAATATAGATTTCCCCCCCCAAAAAATGTGTGTTTATTATTTATTTATTCCCCCTTTGAAGACTGTGGGAATGCAGCTCAAGGTGACGACTGAAGGGAGCTGCAAGAGTGGTGCATTCGTGTGTAATCACATTGACTGGAAACACACCGATGGGAAGGTAGTTTGTGAAATCACTTCACGCCACATAACGCTGTGGTTTTGGTGATTATTTACGTTCTAATGAATATTTTATTGAATCTCTTAGAATACACGTTATTGGCCACGATGCTGCTACGTGTCTGTTTGCCTGATGCCTAAATTCCATGAAGCACATTTTCAGATTGCGAGTGTTTTGCAGCAAAGCTTCAAGTTTCCTTACAATAATGATCCACAGGATTTGTTAGCAATTTCTTTTTACTTCAACAATTTAATTAAGAAGGCATTTTAGAACCTGCTTGAACCACTGTTTAAAAGAAAACAACATTTCGATGACTGTCACACCTCACATCCAGCAGCTGGCAAAGAGACTACAATTGAAACTGGCTTTTTATTTTAGAATCAAGTCTTGCCTGTTTTTCGAGGCCAAAAGGAGACTGGTTGCTGCCACTTTTATGTCTGTGTTGGACTATGGAGATACCGTATACATGAATGCTTCCGCTCAAAGCCTGAGTGTTTTAGATTCAGTGTATCACGGCACTTTAAGGTTTATCACCAATTTTAAGTCTTTTACTCGTCATTGTTTCATGTACTCTCGTGTTGGATGGTCGGATTTGTCCACACGAAGGAAAAAACACTGGCATGTTTTAATTTATAAATGTATTTTAGGCTTGCTTCCTCGTTATTTCCAGGTTTTTATTTGTACAAAAGCTGCAAGTGGTTATAATGTGCGGTCACAGGATCTATTGCAACTGTCTGTTCCCAAGGTTGGAACTGAACGGGGAAAGAAAGTAAATCCGCTGCTCCCTCCACCTGGAACACTTCACAAAAAGACCGGAAACTGCAAGAGCTGCTAGATGTTTTGAAAGATATATATTTTTGCTAGTTATGTTTCTGATCTCTTCTGACATGTTCGTTTCTTATATCTTCTAAATTTCATCTCACCGTGTATAATGACTGTGATGTCTGTGTGGATGTCAATTGTGCTGCTGCCTGTCTTGGCCAGGACACTTTTGAAAAAGAGGATTTTTAATCTCAACGAGCCTTCTCCTGGTGAAATAAAGGTTAAATTTCTAAAAAAATAAATAAATAAAAACATACCATCACCATAAACGAGCATTTAAAAGGTTTTATTTGAGAAAAGTCAGACGTGTCACAAAACATAGTTGATCCAATAACAAAAGCAGTTTAACATTTTGTTTCAACAGCATGAAAATAGCTACATGTGGATGTGATCGATCGTGTGATTGATGATCTGCGGGATGACGGAACTCCGTGTTGATCGTACTTCTAAAAACAGACCTACAACAAGATCAGCAATAAAAAAGTCAATGCAATTTTTGGGTCGAGTGTAGGAAGTGTGGGTAAGGCGGATGAATGGCTGAGAGCCGACTGAGGCGCCGCGGGGTCCACGTCACCGTTAGGCTTGCTGACAAGAGTGAAAAGTGCAAGATTTCTCCAGATCTGTAGGGAAGAGAAAGAAAAATCCAATAAACATTTTAATAAAGAATAAGATTTTATAACATATGTTGACTTGCTGTTCTTGATCTGAGCCACAGTCACCTGGAGTCGAGTCACTGCAGTGTCTGAGCGAGGCCATGGCGTTGGTGTACTCTGGTCCCAAAAACTGCCCGTAGGATTTTCCAGCTGCAACCTCCTGCAGACATTGAGTGGAGTCTTTGAAGAGGAGGTTCTTTCCTTGGTCTGACTGGAACAGTTTGAATGTGGGATCGCTGCCACTGGATCCAAACTTGGCCTATAAAGGAAAAACAACATTTAGGTTAAAAATGTATGTTTAGATTTTGCATAATGCTGTTTATCAGACATCTTATCAGTAACACAGATCAACAGCGTTTACTTAAAAAAAAATTTATGTGCAAAATTGTGCAAAAAAAGACAATTTTAGCATTTGACCCAGAATTTTTTATCTATTAGTTCGACAGCTGGACTTGATATTCTGCTGTACATCCATAGTGTACAGATTTCTCAAAGCCACATTATCATTCTCTAGTTTGGTGAAAAAGTTAAAATAACTAACTAACTAACTAACTAACTAACTAACTAACTAACTAACTAACTAAATAAATACACAGATAGATAGATAGATAGATAGATAGATAGATAGATAGATAGATAAATAAATCTTATCATTAGAAATGAAGAGCTAAAATTGCAAATATTCAACAAAACCACAGAAACACTGATTCCTTTAAAAACCTTGGCACAAGGTGCAAAAAGGACTGAACTGATAATTTGATTTATTAAAACTTGCTGATGAATTTTCTGCTGAGTAATGCAGCTCGCTGGTGTGTAGGAGATGAATAGGACACCAACAAACCAAAAAGTTGCTGCTCAGAGGCTCCACATGCATCCACAGTCCCTTTATCAGGTCAGCCAGTTTGTGGTGATTTGATTAACAGCTCGTTTGTTTGTGAATAGGCAGTGCTCAATCATGATCAGAGGGGCAGTGATTACATTAGGCAAATACATTAGTTTACTGTCACAAAGGTAACTGACAGTTATTTTGGTGGTTAGTTCGAATGGATTTCAAGCAAAATGCAGCTCAGCTGCTGAGCGAATAAAAGAAAATTCAAAATATTACATTTCAGCACTTGAACCTGAATGTTACTTTGATAAATCTGCAAATATTCAGTTATTTCCTTAAAAACAGGCGTGGCAGTAACCTTCCACTCAAAAACCCGCTCAAGTCCCACTCCATGTATCCAAAACTTAGAATGATCTTAAAGCCTGCCACTGACCTGCTGGTCCTGGAGGATGCGGATCACGTCGGCGCGGCTCTCTGGACGAGTCACCACAGCGTGTGCAGGCACAATGGCCAAGTGACAATTGGCGAAATCAGTGATTTCCGCTGGCTCCTTCCCAGGGCAGATGAGCTGGTAGTCACCAGAGCTCACGGCGCTGGCCCACGCTGGCCCAACACCTTCGACAAAAAGGAGAACTCAGGTGAACACTTACATTCACTGAAAACAGCAGAGCGATGGTGTGAATACAGGTCAGTGTCGGCCTCTTACCGTCACTGTTTTCTTTAACGATTGTGTGTTTAATGAAGGCAACATCACCAGCACCTTCAACCAGGCATCTATAATGACAGGAAAAGCATATTCAGGAATAACAATGTGGATGTTTCCAACCTTATAAGGGTTCTCTGGACAAGCAATTACATTCATTATTGATTTTTTTTTAAATATGTGCTTTGTTGTGAAATACAAATGTCAATACCGCTGTCATGTCTGCGTCTTATAACTGGAGCAGTAGTTGGAGGCTTAGCATAAAGAAACAAGCAGCGAGATTGCAGCAAACCAGTTGTCAGCACACCTAAAGCTCACTTATTAATACAGGAGCATCACCTTTCCTTGAGCCATACACAAACAAAAAAAAAGAATCACTTCTGGTTTTAGGGAGGGCATTACGGAACCCTGGAAGGGACACGGAGAAAGAAAAAAAACAGGGAGAGGGAAAAAATAGAGGTATCTTTTGAGAGATGTCAAAAAACTTTCTCGGGATCTTGCAAAAACTTTTGTGAGATCTCGTAAAACTATCGGTAACTTCTGGGTCTTTTTGGCAGTATGGAGACGATGGAAGACACCCACCCATACTAGAGTTTTATTTTGGAAACGGCCTAAACTATAAAGACATTCAAGCAGTGCTTAGCAAGAGGCACAGTTTTCACAAAACATCCAATAAGATTGACGTGACTTTCCCAAGAAAGTTTTGCGACATCTCGCAGAAGATACTTCCATTTTTTTCCCCCTCTCTCTGTTTTTTCTTTTCTTTCTCCATGTCCCTTCTGGGCACAATGCTGTAGCTAATTCTTGGCAAACACAATTCTATCTGTGTGCAAAGTAAAAGAGATAAAACACATTATCTAGTCAGCTTTACTAAGCTATAGGCCAGTTGTTTCAGTCTGATTCCAGTCCCTAGCTACTAACGTCTTGAACTTTACACCCAGCACAAAAAGAGTTTCAAAAGAAGGCCAGGCTGCTCCTTTCTGTGTTGTATTTGATGCAGAGACACTGCTGCCTCTCACTGTACCTGAAGGCTCCAGCGTAGCCGTAGTACTGCTCATCAGCGCTGGCTTTGCACTTGGCCTCGTCTCCCACAGCTTTGCCGCTGCCGGCACACTGGCTGCAGAACGGGGAGTTGGCATCGGCTCCGGGGGCACAGCCACTGCTGAAGAACTTAGCTGAGGATGAGAAGAGACGCAGTCAGAGGCTGAAAAAGAGCGACTCCTTCTCTTAAAAACAACAGTTGTAGAATCAGAATCAGAAGGTTGTACACGCAAACAAGGAATCTGACTCTGGAGAATCTCAACTTACATACCTTACACACTTTACGATTGAGAACAAGGAAATATTATGGGAGACGTTAAATAATGATTTTTTAAAATGTGGTTTTGGATATATATCAAATTAATTTATAAGCAAGACCACAGATTTCCCCAAATTTCATCAAAATGTACGACTAAGGTTTGTCTGCGCAGAATTGTTGTTCTTTTTAATTTCACATATTTGTAATTTCAAACTCAAGACGTCACTTACTGAAGTCACAGTCTTTGGTCCTTTCATAGATGCGACCCATGGGGATGTTCCAGCCAGCTGTTCTGCCCATGCCCGTGTGGCAGGACTTCTTGCCCTGCAGGGTCTCCCAGGTCACCCCTGAACTCTTCTTTACCACAGCGACGGCGTAGTAAGAGGAGGCTACGCCTGAGAGTGGCAGCACAGGACACGATGGCATCAGAAAACCATTAGTGCATTAAACTTAATTTAATTTAGACTAATTGTTATAAAAGAGTAGACAATGTTGCTGCTTAATTTACAAATAAACTCTAGTATATATTATCATTATAGGGAAAATGTTGAAATTACTCCAGTTAACTGCAAACAGAACCTCTTTCAGCCATTGTGCAGTAGGGCACCTGGACATGGTGAGCTTTTCTTTTTGAGAAATTTCATATTTTTTCTTCGAATTGAAAAAAAACCCCAGCTCTTTCTAGGAAACATTTCCAGGAATTATATGTATACAGTAGACACAGGTAGATTTTTTTAATGGTCATTGATGGGAGCGTTACAGTTAAATGATGCCCTTTTTATGCCTTTTTCAATCATTCTATACGAGTGAAAATACTGTTATTTTGTTCTTTAAGTTATCAATGTTGTAATCTAGGCTAAGTTTATTACCTTCAGAACTGCTGCACAGGTCTGCGGAGAGAGAAGATGCACTTATTATTCATGTGGAATAGGTTTAAGTAAACACAGGATTTTTGTGACGATGCGCTGTGCCGTCGTACTGTTTTCGTACTGCTCCACCATGACAGGAACCAGACCACACTTCCCGGCTGTGTACACCTGTCCTCCGTCCACTGCCATCGCATCAGCCTCTTTGCGCTGCACCGACAATTCAAACAGCACATAATCAGGGAGACAAATTCCACACAATGGAGCAAAAAAAAAAAAAAGATTTCTATATTTTCATCGGACTTTACCATAATCTTTTTCAGGCACTCGTCAACTGTAGGAGCACTCTGGCACTCGATGACGGCGTTTTCACCGTCCACACTGTTGATGCTCCACGTGTCACACTTGACGGTCTCGGCGTGGCCCACAGCGCACCACTTGATGGCAGGGGATACAGTGCCTGGCAGCTGCTCTGGAGAGCGAAGCGCAACATAATCAGAAACATGCAGGCTGATGTCTGTTTAATAAAAGTGTTCTTTTTTTCGGCAGGATTTTTATATACATCTGTGTGCTTGTCATGCTTGTTTTGTTTTTTTTTCAGTACCTTTCTTAAGGGAGCGGAGGACACTCATGTATTCAGCGCCCAGATACAGGAAGGAGTCTGTGTTTGGGGGCAGCTTCACCAGCTTCGTTGTTGAATCCTTGAACATCAGGTTCTTGCCTGTGTAGCCTTCTGACGAGAAGAGGTTAAAGCCCTGCAAAGACACCGAGTAAGTTAAGCTGTTGTGAAAGCACCGAGCACAGCGTGAGGCAACCGAAACACAAGTTACACTTTGAAGTCTGTTACAAAAGTGCAGCATTTCGTCAAGTCGTCGACTCTGCTACTTGCTCACTATGTCGTACAAATAACTTTAACTAGTAACTATAGATTGTTTACCTGTACTCCGTTGAGGCTTGTCCAGATGAACTCAGCCAGCTGTGCGTCCTTGCGGGTGACAACAGCGTGAGCCGGCACTCTGGCCAGGTTGCAGGTCTTGTAGTTGTCGATAGGTGCTCTGCTGTTGTCCTTGCACAGCAGCTCGTACTTGGACTTCTCAGCATCTGGATGTGCGACATAGCAGAAAGTTGTACTTACAAATAACATTTTTCTTACTGCCAGAATTTGTTAAAGTTGCTGATTTGGTAAAGAATTACAAAACAGATATAACCTTCTTAACCTTATAAGACCCGAGCTCTTGTTGGATATGCATTTTTTAAAATTATTATTTCTCTTTAATAAAAGATAAAAAAGAATACTTTTTTTTAAAATATAAAGAAAAAATAAAAACAAATAAAAAATATAAAAAATATAAAAAATAAAAATCTATTGAAAAAATAGTAATTAATAAATAAATAAATAAAAACAACAATAATGATAAAATAATAACATTAAAAAAAAGAATTAACTACTGTGGTAATATAACCCAAAATGTGATGTCCATGTGGCCGCCAGCTCTGAAGAGGTTATAGTCCATCTCCAGTCAATGATTACAACAATAAAAACTCACCTCTAAAATGGTAAAGTGGATCACAAGTTGTAAAATGTTAGAATGTCTAATGCATTTATTTGAATAATAAAAATGGGAGCTGGTTTGTCTCTAATATTTTTTTTCTGTAATTATGGCTCCAGAAGCTACATAACGTTCAGCTGTCGTCATATTGATGTGATAGTTCCGCCTGACAGCCTGAATTTTGTTGTTATTAACAAGTATGAAGATACGTAAAATGTGGATAGCGGGGAAAAAAAAGAAGAACCGCACACTTGGCATGACATTTGACCTAGTCAAGGTCCGGGTACGTTGTTTTATAAAACAGAATTAGAACAACTTATCAGCTCAATACTTGATGACATATTAGAATCCATATTGGCATCATACTGACCAGGTACGGTGAGATGCTTCACAAAGGCCACTTCTCCGGCATCCTCCACCAGACACCTATATGAGGCAGAACAATCCAGAGTTACATCCACCTCATAGGCTTGTTTGTGTTTATCCATAAGAAAACATCAAATAAGGTATTAAAAAAATATATATTTAAAAAAAACCCAGAAGGGACAATTAGATGAGTTTAAATGATAAAGATGAATAAAAGTGACAACTGAGAAGCATCAAAGACAGACTAGTACTGACTGGAAGGCTCCGGCGTAGTCATAGTAGGGCTCGCTGTGAGACCTGGAGCAGTCTCCCTTGCACAGTTCACACAGCTTACTGCCCCTTGTTGCCCCTGGGGCACAGCTGGCCTGGAAGAAACTGCTCACCGCTGTGAAACAAAAAAGCAAGCACGCAAGCAAAGACATTAGACACAGTGCTGCTGCAAGTCAAAGAATCAATCTGTGTTGTTTTTTTTTTAAATTTAGAATATAAAGGGAAATGTACACCGTTGCCTATAAAGTTGGAATGATTTTTGTTATCAGACACATCCCTCTTTTTATTTCTATTTATACACATATAAGTCATCACTTTTGACCAGGTGCAATGATCACATACTGAGTCCCAGTTACTCAGGTGAAACCAGTTCTGACTTCAGGATCTGACAGAAGAGTCGAAGAGTCAACAAGCTGGTGGACAGTATGCCACCATGTCTTAACACATTGATCTGTGTCAGGGGTGGCCAGACTCAATATTAGTGGCATTTAAAAGAGCAATATTGGACGTTCTAGTGCATGAAATCCCCTCGAATATGTGTTTCCTGTTATTTGACCAAGGTTGAAAAATTGAAACAAAAGCCTTAATCCTGGTGTTCAATACCCCCAATTTAGTTTAAGCCTGAACACAAAGTTAAAAAAAAGTTAATTGTGGTTTAATTTTACTGTGATATATATTGTCTGTATGTTGTGATATCAATAAAGTTGCATTGTCACAATCACTTCATTAGAAGAGGTAAAAAAAACAACATTTTATTCCAACTTTATGGGCAACAGTGTATCACAAGTTGTCATAAATGATCATAAGGTGGGCTTTTAGAGTGGACTAATTTCAAAAAATTAAATATACTGAGAATAAAAAAGCTGACATCAGCTAAGAAACTGACTTGAACTGACTTTGTTCAAAGGGTTATGAGTCCCTGTTGGGTGGTTAACTTCTTCTAACTCCCAGTAAACCACAGTTTGGTGATTTCACACCCCAGTTATGCATAGATTAAACAATTAAGTTCCTTGAATTGAGGAAGACCAGCCTCCTATCTGACTCCAGACAGTAAAAACGTCAAACTGCCCCGGAGGTGTCTAAAAGCTCTAATGTCCCACAAAAAGCTGAGCGCTTGACCTCAGTGTCAGCTTTTGTCCGAGGACAGTGTAAAAACAAGTCACTCACCCTCCTCCACAGGTTTGTCCTCGATGCCTGCCCACTCGAGTATGTTCATGGTCAACAGAGTTCCGATGGGAATGTTCCAGCCGGCAGATTTTCCCAGACCAGTGTGGCAAGATTTCTTCCCCTTGAGATCTCTGAAGCCAAATCCGCTGCCCTTCTTCACAACAGCGACGGCGTAGTAGCAGGTGTCGGAAGCTAGACGCACGCAAAGAAGATGTTTTAAACAGTTAAAGCATCTTGTTAGCTATTCATAATGGCACCCACGTTGCTTATTACATCAGTAAAGACCACATACTGGTGCCGTAGTCCTCAGCAATGATGGGCTGCAGGTCGTAGTTGTTCAGTCCAGCGGTGAAAACGTCGCCTCCATCCAAAGTAATAGCGTCTGCATCACCGGCCTGCCAGAGAATACTAATTATCACCAACCAGCAGCAGCAGCAGCAGCAGCATTTTTAATCTGAGTGCGGAATCTTTTCATATGTCTTTTGTTGGTAATTAAATGCAGTTACAGGAGTCAACTTCTATGATGCGGTTTCAAAAACTTAAGGGTCCATTGACAACAGTATTAAAAGCAGTTTGAAATAAATCCACCATAAATGCTACTAGTTGTAAACTAATATACAGCTATTATGTATTGCATAATGAATGCTTTCACTGTTGATACATATATGTTCTTTTCTTAAATGCAAGACTGATTTTTTTTTTGGCAGAAAGTAATTGAGTACATTTACTCAAATACTGCACACTTTGAAAGGACTAGTGCTTCAGTATTTCTCTTTTATCAAATTGTTTTGATTTTAAAATCCTTCTTTAAGTCTGAAAATGAGATCCAATGAGTACTTTTACATCAGATTTTTATTTTATTTTTCATAGTTTTTGACTTTCTGCTTTTACTTAAGCAAGCTTCTGAATCCAGAACAAACTTGCAGTGATGTTTGAATCGTGATATTGAAGAACTATGAGTGCTTCTAAATCAGCAAAGCACCTGAGTCCTTCTTTCACCGCTTGTTTATTCATCAGTGCACGATTCATTTTTGCATTTTTGCATTTGCAGCATCCACTGCTCAGCCTTCCGCAAAGGCTAAAAAGATGAAATCAGACATTGGTAGTATTTTTGCATAGCTCTGAATAACTTTCTCACCTTGATCGCAACAATGCAGTCGATGGTGTTGTCTTTCTTCACGCAGGAGAACGCGGGAGCTGCAGTTGCCAGAGCCAAACATTTCTGGTACTCTGCGTCCGACTTGACGCACCATTTCACCTTCTCAGCTGGAGCCGCCAGCACGGTGGCTGTGGATGCAAGGGGATGTCAGTTTAGGTATTTACAAAATTGAAAATAAATACATCAATTAATCAGTGTGTGATGTAAAATAAGAAAAAATGTGCCAGTCTTTACCGAGGAATCCGAGCAGCGTGGCGCAGAGGAGAAGCTTCATGTCGGCTGTGATGAGCAGAGCAGATTGTCAGAGAGGCTGCTCTGCCTTTTATAGCAAACCTGGCTGGACCGGGACTGGAGATAAAATGCCACAGTTTGCTCAGGTTTCCTAATGTGTGCGTGTGCGGGTGCGTGGGTGTGTACTTTAGTGGTAATGAGAGAGAGAGAGAGAGAGAGAGAGAGAGAGAGATAGAGAGATTGCATTCCCCCAAATTTCCACATACTGGAAATTCACAGGCAGCATTTCCAACTATGGCTTTGCACACTTTGTAGTCGTGCAAAACAGCAACACGTGCAGAGGAATGTGCTTCTGCTGACTTTTTCTGGAAGTTGGGTGATCGGTTACGGGATTTGAGTCTCTATCAGGCTGCATGTCGGGTCATACAGGTCAACACAATCAGCAGCAAAGAGTTTGAACTGCACCTATGGATGAGTTTTGAGTGCTTTTGCATTGACATCTTTCAAATGGCTACGAATTCGATATCAGCTTTAGCAACGGTGAATGAAACATTAATAGCACAGTGTAAAAATACTCTTTTACGAGTTAAAAACTGTATTTCCAAAATCCAACAGCAAAATATTCCCCGGATCTGAGTCACTAATGTGTGTTTAACTCTCCTTGTTGGAGGTGGAGCTACTTTGTGGTGTTGGACAGTTTAAAACGCAGAATTGCATCGTATGTTTTTTGTAAATTGATCTGTTTTTTTT